TGCTAGCAAACACATGATACCGTTCAATATGTACAACTCGTCGAGTATTATATGTCTGTAAAAAATCACATTGATCGGATATCGATAGCTATATGATCGGATTAGTTTTTTTTAACAGTTAACTATCACACCATCCGTTTTGTTTATACAAAACTGATTTTATCATATAGTTAACGATATCCGATCAACGTGATTTTTTACAGGCATATAGTACTCGATGAGTTCTACATATTAACGGTTCAAATTATCAAAACAGAATCCTTAGTGGGCCCCCAAAAGCCCAACATTACCATCAAACTTTGTGGCTTTACATATGTAATTATTTTTTGTCCAAAAATTGTATGACCTGCCTTCCTGCTGGGGCAGTACGGCTGGCAGTGTAATTCAAACTTTTGTATTACAAAAATATATAAAATATTTTTTTAATATTTTTTATTTGTGAATAGTAATGACTTTTATTTTTTGTGCAACTTTTTGACTTTTTGAATTTTTTGAGACTTGACAAACCTGGCCTAAATTTTGACGATAGTCAATGTTATTATGGGTTGTTTTGAGAAATTAGTTAAAAGTTAGTTTTTTTGATTTTTTTTTTAAAAAATGCATAAGAAAGTAGAGTGATAATGTAACTCAAAATAAGTTAAAAATTGACTTTTGACTTTTAACCAAGTTCCCAAATTGAGCCTATATCAAACGTGTTCTTTTAAATCTCAAAAAGAGTGAGGGTAATTTATTCAATAAAAAAATAACACCATGTTATGATTAAAAAATAAAGAGAAAATTGTAAATTAATGGTAACTTTACAATATATTTATAAATTCATGAAAAAAATTTATAACTATAATTATTAAAATTAATAAAATTTATCACTAATTTAAAATTATTTTTGAAAACATACAAAGATTTGTAAATAAACAAATTAAATTAATATTAAAATAATTATAACGAATTTAAAATACAAACACCCCTACCACATACGATACGACCCCCACGGCCCCACCTCTTCTTTTTTTTTTTTTTTTTTTTTTTTTTTTTTTCAACCGTTGGGGAATCTGTAATTTACTGATAGAGAGGGTGAGATTAATTTTTTATGCTAAAAATGTCAAAAGTTCTATTAAAATTTATATTAAATATTTTTTAAAATTTATTGAAATTTATATTAAGAATTTTTTTATCATGATTTTAAAAAATTAAAAGGTAAAAAAGTTATTATCCTATTTAAGTCATATCATTTTATTTAAATCAAATAACTTCAAATTCAATCCATATCCAACTCATATGTTATAAAAAATTAAAAAGTATACTTATTTAGATCATTCTAAACAATCCTTAAATATTTTATATAAGTATAAAATTTATTAGTCTAAATTTTACATTCATATAACATATTTGATAAAAATTTTAGGGCCATGCTACAGAACCCCAGTAGGGTGGAGCAAGGATCCTCTAGAGTGATTTTTCCTTAAAGTTTCTTAGAGTGCTATATTGTGTGGTTGAGATTTACTGGCAAGTCATATCAATTTTTCTGATGTGACTTGCCAGTAAATCTCAACCATACAATGTAGCACTCTAGGAAACTTTAGAAAAATTTCACTCTAGAGGATCCTTAATGCAGTAGGGTGACTCCACTGACAATCTGCAGTGAGGTGTCACCCCTATTGACTTGAAAAAAAAAAAAAGTTTTTGGCCTAATGAAAAACGACCCAGCGACGGTGTTAGGCATTTTTCAAAATTTTAATAAAACTTAAAAATCTCTAACATTTTTTCCCCCTAAATTAATGGCAGTAATAATACGAAGCGACATTACTTTGCAGTATCCATCCTCCACAAACACCCGATACTATCCAATCACATCCCACCACCTTCAACTTCTCTCTTCTCTCTTCTCTCTTCTCTCTCTGCCTTTTTATGATTTTCTCTGTTTCTGCTCGGTAGATCTCTCTCTCTATCACTTTTCTGTGTGTGCCCCTCTCTCAAAGTTTTTAAAAATTTTAGATTCATTCCTTGAAGCTTTGCTAATTTGCTTTTCCATTATCACCACATCTTTTTAAGCTTTCTTCTCTTTTCTTTTCTTGCTCAGAGAGAGAAAGAAAAATAGAAAAAGAAATCACCAGACTTCCCCACCTTTTTTTTTCACAATCCCCAATTCCTCAGAATCCAGAATCCCACCTCCCCCCGTTTCTCACTTGGTGGTTTCCATTTCTAGCTTTTGGGTTGTTTCTCTACATGTACTATTTACTCTCTCTCATGTTTTCTCAGCTTCTCTCTTTCCTAATTGGGAAATCAAGAGGTTGAAGCTGAAGAAAGCAAACAGTGTTACTGTATTAAAGTTCTCACTTTATACCCTTGCTGTACTTCAATTATAGAAACCTCTATTTCACTTTTCTGGGATTTTCTTTTTTATTTTCCTGGAAAGTTTACTGGGTTCAGATCTTTGTGAGGAGTAGTTCTAGGGTTTTTATCTTGGAGGTGGGCAACAGTTTTTAATTTTACACTTTTTCGTTAAATTAATTACTGTTTTTGGATATTTTCTCTGATTTTGGAAAAGTGAGTCTTTTCTAGATTCCTCAGGAAGAGGGGGGGTTGGCTATTGCAAAAAAAAAAAAAAAAAAGTATTCTGATTCCTTTCTAATGCTTCTTGATTTAAGACAGACATTGCCATTGTAAAATCCCCACCTCTCTCTCCATTCCCCATTTGGGTCCTCTGTTTTTCCTCTGTTTCCAAATTTTCTTTTCCTAGATGAATTCTCATTAAATTGTAGAGAGTCTTGTGTATTCTTGAGCTCAAACTCAGATGAGATGAAGTGGGGGATGGAGATTCTGTCGCCAGCATCCAATCTTTCGAACTCGAATTGGTTGTTTGAAGAGAGCAGGAGCACAAATTGGACCCCGGCAGAGAACAAGTTGTTTGAGAATGCTCTGGCGGTGTACGATAAGGAGACGCCGGATCGGTGGCAGAGAGTGGCTGCCATGATACCGGGGAAGACGGTGAGGGATGTGATGAAGCAATACAAGGAATTGGAGGATGATGTTAGTAGTATAGAAGCAGGGTTGGTTCCAAATCCTTGGGACAATTCATCCCCTTTTACATTGGAATGGGGAAATAGTGATGGAATTTGTGGGTTCAAGCAGTCATATAGTCCCGTCGGAAAGCGATCCTCGGCGGGTCGGGTTTCGGAACAGGAGAGGAAGAAAGGGGTTCCGTGGACAGAAGAAGAGCATAAGTAAGTTATTTTCAATTTGATTCATTTATTGTTTCTGATGTACTAGTTTGTTTGTGAAACTCAATGTGAGTTGCCTTGTGATTATGGCATATTGTTTTATTCCCATCCTTCTAGTCCTCTAGACTGACTTTTGGGTTTTTCAACTAACTAATTTGACTTTTCAAATATGTGATATGTGTATGAAGTATTATCATTCTTCTTTGAACAAGTACAATTTGGGGATTGATCTCTGGTCAATTGTCAAATGGGTGGTATAATTTGGCATAAAGAATTGGTTGTGATGACTTCATCATATAAACATGTTTTAAATAGTGGTATCAAGCGATGCATATCAAGAATTGGGTGTTGTGGTCGTGAATTTTTTTTATATCATTCGCAAAAACAGCTTTAGCGGCCAAACTAGCCATGTCATTTGTGATATCTGAATCAGCCGTATTGGCTATAAATTGATGTGTTGGGAGCTGGCCGATACACATGTGATTTTCTTTCTAATTGGTGTACTAGGGTGTTTTAATGTTGGAAAGACAAAAACCCGAGACATATCAACTAATACAGTACCGATATTTAAGCTATAACATGATATTTTCTTTACTATAGTAAGGAATTTTCTGGTTTTCCAAGCTTAGTTTCAACATTTTACTCAATTTTTGGCATGGGTTTTGGACAATTCATTGTAGGTTGTTTCTGATGGGACTTAAAAAATACGGAAAAGGAGACTGGAGGAACATTTCGCGCAATTTTGTGATCACTAGAACACCAACTCAGGTGGCTAGCCATGCCCAAAAGTACTTCATCAGGCAACTTTCCGGTGGGAAAGACAAGAGAAGAGCTAGCATTCATGACATAACAACAGTAAACCTCAATGAAGATCAAACTCATTCACCGGATAATAAAAAACCTCCTTCGCCGGACCAATCCTCCACGCTTACCCAACAGCAGAATTCTGCTTCCATGCCCAAAACAACCTTTCAATGGAATCATCCAATGGATTTCAACCAAACACATGGAAACATGTTCATGAATCCCTATGGGATTAACTCATATGGGATTAAAATGGAGTGTCCGGATCTGCCAGTAAGTGTTAACCATGAATCTTATGTTGGACCCCAAAACATGGTTTTTCAGATGCAATCTGCTCATCACTATCCTAATGGATGAGACAACTGTTGTTGTATTGAATGTTCTCAATGGTTCAAAATGTATCATCTTCTTTCAGTTCCAGTATAGATTGCCTGTGTATTGTGTTTTGTGAATATGTTATTTGGGCACTTGAGTTAGTCCTTGGTATTGGAAAATGAGAGAGAACAGGATTATATATATCTTGCTTGGATTGGAACTTCAAATTCTGAAATGTGATAATGAAACAAGACATTCTCAAACTTGGGCTTTTCTTGTATGCTCTTTCCCCCAAAAAAGTGTCTACCTTTAGTTCTCGCTCACTTGTCATGACACACAATTTGATGTTTTTTTTTTATATAAATAAAAATTAGATTTTCTGTGTCTTTTCAATATTCAAATCATGACATTCCCAGAATTTGAGATTTTCTTGCGAGTTACAATCCTCTCTTGAAAACTATCCTTAGATCTATCATGACTTATGACACGCTATTTGATTTTTTTTCTTTAAATTTTAAATTCAAATAGTGTGGACGAATTAAGAGAAAATACGTTTTAGAGGACGAAGAGAGAGATAAGACATTTCTTGGGGGTCAAATTATCTTGTGTCTTTCTAGTGATCTTCATAATTTGTCCAAAATCACCATCTTTATTCTCAAAAATGCTCATGCCTAGTGGAGGTTATACTCTCTAAACAGTTGTTGCTTGTAGTGTTTTTCAGTCAAAAATCTATTATGCCCAACTGATAGAATACTTAAAATTATGTCTACTAATCCAGAGTGAATTTTGGACTGAGCTATTATTTTTCACACTTTTTACACAAAATGGAACTCTTCGCTAGTTTGTGCACTTTATGTAATATGTGCGTTTATTATACTAATATTGAACCAATCGTTTGGAACTAATAAGTGACCGTGCCATTGGGCACGCATTTCCAAATCGACTTGAGTCACAGGGAAGTTGGGCACTCTAGGATTTCTGTAGTAGGTAAATGCTATCTAGTGTTCGTAAGATATTTGTTGACATCGAAAATGTGATAGAAAGTTGTGGGAGCGGAAGAAAAATCTACGATATGCTGATGGAGAGCACGGTCTGCAGCATGAACATCGGCATACCATCTTTGCTGATGAGTAACCTAAGGGTGTCGAGTAGAAGCGGCATACCATCTTTGCCAATGAGTAAGCTAAGGATGTTGAGTAGAAGCGACCATATTCAGACATCGACGGCATGTGATGGAATGAGAGGGTGCCGTTATGCTGTGTTTGATTGGGGGATTTGGAGAGGGATTTGAAAAGAGAAATAGAAAAGATAGGTGAAATGTGAATAAAACATGCCTATATTTCACATAATTTCATACACCTTTTCCCTTTCCCTTTCCAAATCCCTCCCCAAATCCCTCAACACAGCGAACCTTCTAGAAATAGAAAAGACAACAATGATTCTTTGCTGATGAGTAACCTAAGGGTGTCGAGTAGAAGCGGCATACCATCTTTGCCAATGAGTAAGCTAAGGATGTTGAGTAGAAGCGACCATATTCAGACATCGACGGCATGTGATGGAATGAGAGGGTGCCGTTATGCTGTGTTTGATTGGGAGATTTGGGGAGGGGTTTGAAAAGAGAAATGGAAAAGATAGGTGAAATGTGAATAAAATATGCCTATATTTCATATAATTTCACACACATTTTCCCTTTCCCTTTCCAAATCTCTCCCCAAATTCCTCAACCAAACACAGCGAACCTTCTAGAAATAGAAAAGAAGGTATGAAAGGACAAAAAGCATATAGGAATAGGTCCCATCAAAAGGAAAGTCACAGAGAATCTCAGCCACTGTATATTCATTATTAAAGAAGGACGAGTAGAATTCTATGAATAGGAAAAAAGCACTCATAACTAAGATATGCAATATCTAATCATTCAAATAGATGCCAAAAACTCCCTCAGAGATGGCTAACTTGATCATCGGAGAACTTACTAGGCGGAATCCCTGCCAGTTTCCGGTGTCTCTTGTGTTGTGCAAGCAAAGCAAAGGAAATCTCCATAACCTTCAAGGGGGAAATAGAAGCATATTTTTCCATCCCACCACAAAAGTATTTTGAAAAAGTGAAAAAAAGATTAAAAAAGTGTTTCTAAATTTCCTATATACATTTGTGATATATATGAAAGAGAGATATATGTAATGAATAAATTAATACAATAAAAATTTATCTCAGGTGTGCATTTCATATGGTTATGCAACCCATAGGTACTTCTATTATGTATTTTTTTAATTTTTTCACAAACTCACATAAATTATTTTAAAAAAATGCATAAATTAATACAATTTCGCGTAAGTAAACTCATAAAAATTTTAATCACAAAAACAAGTAAATTTTCACAAATTCACATAAATAATCTCACAAAAATGCATAAGTTAATACAAATTCTTTGTAAGTGAACTTATAAAAGTTTTAAAAATTACAAAATCACGTAAGTTTTTACGAACTCACATAAGTCATCTAGTAAAAACGCATAACTAACATAAATTTGCCCAAGTAATCTCATAAAAATTTTGAAAAACACAAAATCACATAAATTTTCGCAAACTCACGCAAATAGTCTCAAAAAAATACGTAAATTAATACAAATTTTTCGTAAATAAACTCATAAAAAAGATTGCATATGATATGCAACCTTAAGGAGTTGCATACCCAAACACTACCCATCCTTCTATTTCAAAAAATTTAGTACCATTAAATTGAATATTTTGAAATATAGAGACAGAATTGTAAGATCAGAGAATTATTGGCCCTCCCTTGTATTACTGTTCACAAAAATAGGTCGGTTGACCATGTTTGACCTGCAACCTTGAGTCGAAGCTGATTCAACATTCCACTAATTCAAGAATCATATGCTCTCTCACTCTCTCTCTCTCTCTTCTTTTTGTTTTTGTTTTTGTTTTTGTTTTTGTTTTGTTAGATTATCTATCTTCTTTCGAAGATATTTCCCAAGGGATCCCTTTTAGAAAGAAGAAGATCCTGCATGTAGGAGCATTAGTTGACGATTATACTAGTCTAAAGTGATATATATGTAGCACAAAGTAAGATTCATGCTGGATCACATTTAATATATGTCCTTTTATAAAATAAGAAGATAAAATCATAAAATCTTGTTGCCCTAACCTCGTAACTCATCTGAGATTTTTGGTGGTTTTGATTGTTGCAATCTTTAAGTATTGTGTTCAGTAAGTCAATGAAAGCATCATTTTTTTTTTCTTTTGTTACAAGAAAATCTTCCCTACCCTCACGCAGGTTCAAGGCAATGCCCCTTATAGAGATTACTAGGGTGTCTTGTTAGCCGTTCCGAGCGATAAGACTATAACCTAGGAACTTGCCCCGACCTCCAGCTCCCCTTGCAGAGATCACCAGAGTGTTCTATCATTACAGGAAAATCCTCCCTACCCTCATGAAGATTCAAGGCAATGTCCCTTGCAGAGATTACCAGGGTGTCCTGTTAGCCGTTCCGAGTGAGGAGACCTGGGAACTTGCCCCGACCCCTTGCCTTGCAGAGATTACCAGGGTGTCCTGTTAGCCGTTCCGAGTGAGGAGACCTGGGAACTTGCCCCGACCTCCAGCGCCTCTTGCAGAGATCACCAGACTTGCAGAGATCACCAGGGTCTCCTATTAGCCGTTCCGAGCGAGAAGACTATAACCTAAGAACTTGCCCCAACCTCCAACGCCCCTTGCAGAGATCACTAGGGTGACCTGTTAGCCGTTCCAAACGAGGAGACTATAACCTGAGAACTTGCCCCGACCTCCCAAGACAAGCTCCGCTTAAGTCAGGACTCGCACAGCGGGGGAGTATTGAACTCACACCAAGTACTGATTAGACAACTTGAGATCCAACCTCCTAACCAACTGTGCTTCGCCCAAGAGATTGGCCCGGGAGGGAATTGAACCTGTGACCTGGGAGCTTAAACCCCAAACTTTAACCAAAATGCCACCCACCCCTGGGTTAATAAAAGCATCATTTATTATGCCTATATTTGGGAAGTTAGATTTTGAGGATTTTTTTTGCTAAAATAGTCACAAAAAAACTAAATATACTTTTTAACCTAATAAGATAAAATATTGCATCCAACTTATAATCATTATATTTTTTCTCTCCCAAAAAAATAAAAAAAGTCAAAAAACTAAAAATCCTTCTCAAATCAAACTTTTAACCTTAAGTTAAAATAGTTAAAAAAGTTAAGAAGTCAAAAAGTCAATTCCTTTTCCAAACGAATCCTATTATTATTAATTTGGGTTGACTTTTACTCCTAAGGATATGGAGAAAAGAGTCGCAAAGCAATGAAATGGGTGAACCCTCAATAGGTAGACAAGAAAGTACTAATGATGCTCTTCCACCAAAGCCCGTCTCTGGCAGAGTTTAAACCCCAGTAGTGAAAATGTTGAGTTCGGATCGTCGGCTGCACATTCCTGCGGCCTTCCCTGCCGTACATCCAAAACGACGTCGTTTTGGTGTGTTTTTTTACTTCTCAGCCCCTTTTCGCACCTCTTCTTCTCCATAGCCATCCATTGCTATGTCTTAATGTATCTAAAAAGCAGAACTCATTCATAGCCATCTCGTTTTCAGCCCCTTTTCGCACCTCTTCTTCTCCATCTCCTTCTTCTTCCTTTCTATCTACAGAACTACCAAACCCACCATCTTTTGTTCTCCATCTCCTTCTTCTTGCTCTCTTCTCTCTCTAAAAACTACCAAATCACACTGACTACAAAATAAACCCAGATTCAAACCCAAAAAGAAAATTTGCAAACCCACAAACTTCTCAAAGATAGATTCAATATAGATGCAATCTCAAATCTACAAACCAAACCCACCACCTCTTCTTCTCCATCTCCTTCTTCTTTCTCTTTTCTCTCTCTAAAAACTACCAAATCACACCCACTAGAAAATAAACCAAGATTCAAACCCGAAAAGAAAAATTGCAAACCTACAAGCTTCTCAAATATAGATTCAATATAGATGCAATCTCAAATCTGCAACAAATCACATAAAGACCCACATATCTAATAAAATCTCAAACCAAATGAAATAATTTTCCGTCTAATCTGGTTGTTCATGAGTTCGATCGAGTTGCACAGGTACCAATTTGGCTGACCTTTCCTTCTAATAATTTTTCGGTGATGCCTCTTCCTTCATTCTTCTCTCTACACGCTTGCCTCTGTTTCTAATTTTTTCCTTTTAAATATTTTCTTTCTTCCTTCTTTTTTCCTTCTAAGTGCTAGATCATGATTGAATGTGTCGTCCGGGCGATGAAGCATGTTGTAAGCTAGCTTGAAGTTTGATATGAGGATCCATGTATTCAGTGGAAACACTCTCTGTAAAGAACCAAAGATTTTGAAGAAACCAATCAATCAAACGGGCTGAAAAGAAAAAGTAAGAAGAAGAAGAAAAGTAAAAAATAAAAACACCAAAACGACATCATTTTAAATATGCGACAGAGAAGGCCACAGAAAAGTACGACCGATGATCCAACCTCGAAAATGTTGGAAGGCATATTGGGCTCGACAAAACATCATTGTTTTGTTATTGAATAGTATCGTACCAAAAGAGCAGCCTACTGCCCTTGCCTTTTTTGATTCAACAAAATAGTTAGGCAAATAAGCTACTCTAACATAGCCTAATACACTTGTCATTGTACAATTTGGAGAGTATTACATGTAAGCATTCTTTACTTCATATGCAAAAGTGATTGGTTTTATTTTAAAATCATAATTTCAATCAAAAAAATTTTAAATTTATAATCAAGCATTCAAATCAAAATTCTTTTCTAAATTCATAATTAAACTCTTTTTAAAACTCTTTTTAAAATTTTATTTTTAAAATATATATTTTTTTTATTTTGTTCTTTAAAATTTAATTTTATTTTTATTTTTATTTTTGAAGAAAAATATTTTGTTTATGAGAGAAGCCAAAATTTTTAAAATTCAAAAAAAAATTCAAAAAAAATTAAGTACTTAATTTTTTTTTAAAAAACTATTTAAAATATTTTTAAAAAAATAAAATAAAATATTTGAAATAAACAAATAAGAAAATATTTAAAATAAAAATAATATATTTTAAATTTTTAAATATTTTAAAAAATATAGCGCACAAATGTAGTAAATACAAAGTACATTAAAAAAAATATTTATAATAAAAAATATTTACTCTAAAAAAATAAACCCAAAACAATTTCAAAACATATAACCAAACAAATTTTCTTTATTCAAAACTCATTTTAAAAACTTATCTTTCAAAATACAACTCAATACTCAAATTATGATTCTAAACTTAAACCAAATGGAGCCTTTGTATTTCAAATTCCTAACACCTAGATCACAATAGAAAATTCATAACACTCGGACCTTGTTTGGAAAGTTTACTATTTTAATTAACTATTTGACTTTTTAATTATTTTAGTCTAGTTAAAATAGTTGTATTTTGAAAAATAGTTAATTTTTTATGGTTAATTTGATGGTTGTGATAAAAAAAAAATTATTATTATAAATTAAATGTGATATTTTATTTTATTAATTATTTTAACTTATTTTATCTTTATTAATTATTTTAATCAAAAAATTTAAAAAAACAACTTGCCGAACAGGGCCTCAATAATACAATAAAGCAACCTTACCGATGCACTCAAGTCTGCCCTCCCAAATAACATAGTTTCCAATTTTATTTTATTTTTTGCTAATTTAAATTTGTTCAAATTACTAGTAAAAGTTTCCACCTTTTTTTCAGTTAGTATTAGCATCGTTGGTGCAACTATCATGAAAAAGGGCAGTGAGCGTCCGTGCCATTTTGCACAAGGTATATTCAGTCTCAACCGTTAAGCAAGGAATTTAAGGCAACAGGAGAGGATAGTGATTAATATACATGGTGTCATCACATATACAACAGTAAAGTGACAAACTTAACTAAACTTTTCCTTTTCCAAAAGCAGAAGCCTTTTCTGCAACCAAGTTGCGTAGCCAAAGCACCTTCCCCACTTTATTCTAATTTTCAATCTACATCTCCATTAACTATTCACAACCACGACTCTCTCTCTCTCTCTCTCTCTCTGGTCAACAATATTCTAATTCTTGAAAAAAAAAAAAAAAATTGCTTTCGGTTAATTATGCCTGATGCCATAATTCATAGCTAGAGAGAGAGGGAAAGGCTGAGTGAGGGGTTGTGTTTGGAAGCATGTCTAAAACTACCTTTGGCTGTTCTCAAAAAAAAAAAACAGCCACCTTTGGCCCAGAGATATGATGATAATCTCTTGGGGGCTCCTATAAACGCATCTCCAATGCTAAATGTCACCCCCTTTGACCCCCTCTCTCTCTCATTGGTTACCTTTTATTTTTCTTTTTCTTTTTTTTTCCTACTCCTCCAATCACTCCCTGCCACATGGCAAAGGGAGTGAGGAGGTGACCCCCAAAAGGGGGTCCAAGCATTATTCAAATGTCAAATAAGGCGCGCTAAAGCTAAAAATTGGCTTAGACCTTATAGGACCTCCCTTCCAATCATGAGTTAAATCCATTGTCAAAAAATGGCAAAACCAAATATTGTGTCTAATTTAACTCAAAATTTTTACAAAGCTATTTTTTTACCACGATAGATATCTATCAAAAACCAACTGTTTTTCCCTTCCAGAGTTCACTACTTGCAAAAACCGAAACTCACAAAAAGAGATTCTAAAACTGACACTCATAAAATCAAAAAGCCTGACACTCATCTAGATCAATAAGAAAAAAAGGGTCTGTCAAAATTTGGCAGCTTTGATGATGTAAGAGGGGCTAATTTGAGCCCACTAAATTATTTAGGCCCAATAGCGTGTTCCTAAGTTGAGATTATTGAAGAATCTAAGCCTCTCATCATATTCTAGAGAATTCGAAATTGTTCTTCAAGGATCTTCGAAGATCTTCGAATTTTCCAACTCCTTTCTTGAACCCTCTCCTACAGATGACAACCCCATTAAGTAGCCAGTTGCTATAATACAGTTACCAATAAGAGAAAAAGGGTCCACCCATAGCAATATCAAAATCTGGCAACTTCGATGGCAACTCCATTGGAGCAGCCAGTTGCAGCCCCGTTTCGTATAGTTGTTAAAATAATTTATACATTATATCTTAACAGATTATACATTATGACTTTAATCAGAAGTTGTTAATCTGTTTGGTGTAGCTGTTGGATTATAGATTTAAGTTGCTAAGTAATGTTTGTTAAATAAGCTGTGAAATAACTTTTTCAATTAATTTTTATTTTTTGTTTGTCTACATTTCTCATAAATAATAATAATAATAATAATTTATAGTCCATTTGAGTCTTTTTCTATTTTTAAAAAAATAAAAAATAAAAAAATTTAAGAGTATAACCATAAATTAACATGTCCACAGCAGAAGCTGATAATCAGAAACAATGGGTGAACAGCTTTTCAGAATCAGCTTTTTTGAGTTAAAATAAGCTGTTAGAATCAGAAGCTGTTTGAAATAAGTTTAACCAAACAGTCCAAAATAACTTTTTTAAAACTAAAAGCCATAAGTTGACTCTGAAAAACTGAAACAAACACCCTTAATATAGTTACGGCAGCTCAAATAGCAGCTCTATAGTATCACAAAATATTAATATCTTAACAAATTATGTATTTACACGCACGTTTTAAAATGTGGTATATTTTCTTTTTAAAACAATAAATTTAGTGATTTGAAGCGATCTCCAAAAAATTTTCCAATATATTTCTTTAAATATTAATTTAGGAGGAAAAAAAAAACAATATATGAATTAAAATCTAAGCTCAGCTAAGTTTTGACAAAATAAAAAATCAAAAATGGATCATAATTTTTATAGAAACAATTTGCTACATAAAAGAAGAAGAAAAAATTTTAAGAACATTTATACACAAATCCTAATTTATGAACTTACACTCCATTAAGTCCTAACTATAATTTTTAGACTTTCAAGTCTCATTACATTTTTAATAGTCTAAATTACCTTAAAAACAACGATTGTTCATCATTTATGATTATATGTAAAAGAACATGATAATTTGACATTTATTTTAATTTTTAAAATTTTAAAATAATAACTTTCAAATTGAAAAAACTTAAAATAAAAAAAATTATGTCTAACAAAAAAAAAAAAAAACTAGTCAGCTTGTTTAGTTTTATTTTTAGATTGAAATTTTTTGTTTTCTGTGTTATTTTTTTTTATTGAATTTTTTTAATATTCTAATCAATTTTTAAAATTTTTAGATATACGTAACATAAATACACTTAAAAAGTATAATATTTGTGAATAAAAATATTTAAAAAATTCACTAAATGCAAAAAAATAAAAAATAAAAAACTAAAATTCAGTATATTTTCATATTCTTGTGTATTTATTAATTTTTTAAAAAAATTATAAATATTTTACTTTTTAAATACATTCCAAAGAATAAAAAATTACTTAAAATCTTTAAAATATTCACTAAAAAAATACGAAAAAAAAAACTTCAATTTCTAAAATATTGAATCCAAAAAATTGAAACCAAACATATTGAATTTTTTTTGTTTTATTTTTTTGAAAAAAATGAATTTTTTTTTTTTTGTGCAAAACTACAAATTTTGTATCTATAAAAGAACCTGATGATGAAACATTGATGTGCAAAATTATAATAATAATAAAAAAAATTTAATGAAAAAATTGATAACGTTCTCAGTTTTAAAACTGAAAAAAACTAATAATCTTCTTAGTTTTATTGGATAATTGAATCAAATTAATAAGTAAAAAGACAAAAACATTTAATCTTATGCAATTAGTGAAACATTTAATCTTTTCCATTATTTTTCATCAGTTGGTAAAATAATTATCTGAAACATTACTATGCAAAATTGATAATGTTCTTAGTTTTAAAAATTGAAAAAAACTGATAATAATCTCAATTTTATTAAATAGGATTTATTAATTCAAAAAATCTTAAATAAGACCTGCGCTACCATAACATTTGTAAATAAGACTAGTAGATAATTAATTCAAAATTTTATTGGATACTTAATTGCCAAAAGAAAATTATTCTAAAAGTACCTTAAATTCTTAAGTGTGATATATACAAGTCTACTCCTATTGTACCACATTTTAAAACATGTGACGTATTACATTTCCATTCCGTGTACCGAAACGATCCACGTTCTAGGGAATATAATGGCAGCCCCATTGGAGCTGCTCAAAACCTATGGAAGAAAAGAATACAAGGTGGAGAATACAAGGAGGGAAACGAAAAGATGCACTCTATATCTCCATGCCATCTAACATAATTCAAACCTTCAAGATTGATGCCCTCAAGCAATTACAGTATATTATACACTATAATTTTGATAAATCCAAGGCATCTCTTCAAATCAGAAAGGACATAATACTATGGCCATAAAACATCATATCTATCAAAAGGGCCTCAAGCCAGGCCAAGTCGCATGCATATGCAACTGATTATTGCCAGAATGATTAACCTTTCCCAGAATCTCATGAACAACCCCAAAATCCTGAGATATGCCAACAAAGATACAATAATTATGACTAAGAACATGTAGAACGAATATCAGTAGGGTATGCAACAAGTGGATTAAAACATGCAATCAATAGTGCAGACAGAAGTTTACCATCCAACTGGGAAATTTTGGTACTTGCCGGCCCATCAAGACTGATCAGTTTGAAATCTTCTTGTCATTGGTCGTTAACCCAAAGCCAAAGCGAAACAAAGGGTCATATGAGTTCTCCCCGGAATGAATTGGCAATTGTTCAACCCTTTTAAACCAGGTCATAGGAAGTTGTCCTTGGAACTGGTGATCTCCAAAGATAACATCTGCTATTCCCTCTCCTTCACTGCCAGGCAACCAAGCAGCCATGATAGCATCTACCTTTTCCAAGAGCCATGGCTCTAAAACCAAGGGCCTTCCAGAGATCAGAATCACCAATGTGGGAACTCTGTCAGCAACTGAGCTAATCAGTTCGGCTCCATTAAAAGGGATTATAAGATCTGAATTGTCACCAGCATGTTCAGCGTATGGACCTTCACCCACAGCTACAATAGCAAAAGAGAAATCTTGACTTGCAAAGATGTCTGCTGATGGGTGTTGCTCGTACACCAATTCTGTTTTTTCTCCCACTGCTGATTTAATAGCGTCTAGAATGGTTGTGCCTAAAATTGTCAACATTCCCATCAGTCTAATCTTAAACATGCATTTAATGCTCAAGTAAAATTTTAGACTTATTCACAGAAACAAAAAAAAAAATTCTCTTTTCTTGTTGTAGCAGGGGGCAAATTTAGAACAATGAAGGGGAATGTGATGCCTGCTACCCGGTTCTCCAGTTATAAAAGGTACAATGTAAGCCCAGTAAGATATATTCAAGTGGTAAATATGGATTGTTCTACAGTCAACAGAAAACACCAAGGTAGTATTTGGTGCACTAGAATAGAATGGAATAGAATGATCATTCCATCAATATGTCCATTCTCGAGTTTGGTTAACTATAAAAAAAAAAATGCAATGTAAATAGAGTCATCATTCACCATTGTAAGGGAATGAATCATTTCATAGGGAAGCTGAAGGAATAATCATTCCATTCAATCTTATTCTAGTGATACAAATAGAGCATAAGGGCACGTTGGTTGACCAAAACATGTGAATTCGACAATCTTAGAAGTGGTGCATTGACAAATTAGATAATTAGATATTTGGCTGTATAAAATGTAAGAACTCAAAATTTTACATATGTTTTAGTTTATGAAAACATAGAACTACCTAATATGAAGTTGAAATATTTACAATCGATTCTATTCAATGCCCAACACAAATTTTTGAATAAACTCATTTACAAATCCATGGAATTTGAATTAGTCAATTCTAAAGGAATAACTCAATTCCCGGAACCAAATGATCCCGAAGGGTATATTTTACAGTCCTTCACATATGGAAGAGCAGTCAGGTCAAACCAACTCAAAAAATAAAACTAGGGGCCAAATGCATCCCATAATTTTGTACAATCTGTGCTTTTATGTAGGTACTAGGTATGTGCATGAACATGCATGTGTCAATGTGCTATGAAGATTCTGTGCCTTTTTATTTTTCTCATCACCACCAGCATAAGTTGAAACCGTGTCAATCATTAATTGTTTTCAAGTTGAGAACAGTAAAGCTATGTGCACAGTTTTCATATGCATATGTACTGAATTTTTGTATTTTTTGTAATTAGTGAATTTTTTAAGGATTTGATCACAAATTTTTTTAAATTTTAGATGCATCTAAAAAGTTTTTTTTATTTTAAATTAATTAAATTATTAAAAAAGTTCACTATAAAGAGACAAAAATACGAAAAATAAAAAACAAAAAACTCAAAAAGTGTATTTGAAAACTGAAAACGAGGTTAAGATTCAAATCTTGTATGGCGAAATGAACATCGGAAGTGAATCCAGACCATACATTAAATATTTTGGGTATGCTTTTGTGTATGAATTCAGTGTACCTAGCATTGCTCAATTGTGGATCAAGAATCTGCTAGTAGGATGTGTGTTAGGCCTATTGCCACATAATTACATACCAATAGTAATTCGGCCACTGTCTCCCATCCAAGTAGCTGTCCACCCTCCACACTGATATCCAAGATTATCAGCATGTGTTCCAGCAATGAGGATTCTTTCAGCATTCTTGTTTAAAGGAAGAAACGGTTTCTTTGGATCCTTTCCATTCTTTAACAAAACCACGGACTTGCGAACCGCCTCACGTGCTAGTTCTCTATGCAGCTGAAGCAATATCATAAAGATAAACTGTCTTTAAGTCTGAACTCCAGTTGGCTAGAATCGTATGACTAATAACAATTAACACAAAGTACTAGAGGCAATTAATTGCGCTTAAAAATACAGAATTTTGCATAGAGTATAACAAGTGTAAAGGATCATAGAAGCACATGAACCAATTCTACAACCAATGATTGTGATTGTTCGAAATGTTTGTGTAAATTGATACTAAAACTGTTTCTAGCTTTTAATTAAGATTCATCGCTCCCATATTTGGAATAAATCGATACTAAAACTGTTTCTAGCTTTTAATTAAGATTCATCAGCCCCATATTTGGAATGAATTTTGAGCATATCAAGGCGGTTATCTCCCAACTGCCTCTTGCCACTAGTAAAGTACACTTCAACAAGCAAAACACTCCAAATCATCTAGTGTCTCAAGTGGTAGTTGCATAGCATACAATCACTAGAGAAAAAAATGCTTCTCGTTCCTCTTTTTAACTTCTCCTAAATGCTGTCATGGAATCAGAGATCATGCCAGATGGAAACCAGATTGCTGATGATGGGAATATATAAATATGCATCATATATTCTAAAAGATATAATAATATTAAAAGAACGAAAAAGCCCTATTTCATACTAAAGTTCATCTGTCTACGAAATTGGGAAGCTGCTAGCCCCATGTGAACTTGGATGAGACGCAAAGGCGTGCACACATACCTAAGTTACATATATCTTCTAATTGTGTGAAGTACCTGTTCAAAAGTCTTGAAAAGACATAAGATCTCAAATTTATTCAAAAGAAAATGATTAATGATGCTATTACAAATAATAAATCTTACTGTATTCAAATTCTCAAACGAAAGACACCAATAACCAATTTGTTGTGATGTTGGGAAACCATAAAAATATGGAGAAGTAAAAATAGTAATTATTAACTCTAAAAAACGGAACAAAATGGATACATTACAAACTAGTTCAGCTCAGACAAAAATGAGATTATTCTTTTGTTTACGTCAAAGTGTATATTGTATGGTGAGGTCAATAAACAATGTATCTAATTTTGGAAAAAAAAAGCCTACCTTGCAACCAACTGTATCTAGCAAAGATCTATCAGTCAGAGGATATTCAAAAAGTCCAGCAACAAATTTCACTCTCAGGATCCGTTCAACAGCATCATCAATTCTGGAAATAGGAATCTCCCCCGATTCTGCTAGATATGTCAAATCCTCTAGATATAATTCATACCTATGAGGTACCATCACCTGCGAATATTGTAGTGGGAGAAACAAATACGTGAATTATATTAAAGAAGTCAAAGAACCTTCCATTTTGAGATTTTGGGAACTAGAGTTTAACTTCTACCATGTCAATTCCAGCATTGATGGCTAACAAGACGCAGTTTCGATAATTAGATCCATAAGGATGGGAAAGTCTGTCAAGTCCTTCGGAATCAGAAATGACTAAGCCCTGCAGCAGAATGTCACCACAAGATTTATTTATTTGTTACAGCAACTAGATTCCCATAAACCAACAACACATGCAGGGGCGAACCAGAAACTTTGTTTGGCAGGCCAATGTAAGTGTATGCATTATTACTTGAAGATAATTTATTACACAAGCATTATGAAAAAAATATTTAATATGGAAAATTAATAAAAAAATTAATAAATATATTGCAGTCATTTCTGAATTCATTTCAATTATGTTCTGTAGTTTTTTTTTTTTTTTTTGAACTATATAACTAGAATATTGGTGTATAATTAATTAGACTGCCATTTTAGGAAATTTTGTTAATATTATTTATTCATTTTATAAAAATCAGTAGATTTATAACTCACATCCATAGAAACTTGAGCTTAGCTCAAGTGGTTGTACCCCTTGGTTTCGAAGGGGTAGGTTCGGGGTTCAGACTTATGGAAAAGCATCAAACTTCCATTAATAGTAATCTAACTTGCTCACCTGCTAACATCTTTGAAAAAAAACTCAAATCCATAGAATTAATACTATTACAGGGCATATGTGAAATTAGAGATAATTAGGGATCATCCCATATATATATATATAAGAATATTCATGGAATAAAGGGTTATAATGATTTTTTCAAAGACTTGAGGGGCCATTCCATATATATTATAGGAATATTGATGAAATATAAGGGTAAAGATAAAAATAAAAAAAATAAAAAATATATTAAAGATAAAAGAAAACCAGAACTCAATCACATGATTTCAAATTTTGAACTGCTGGTAAGATACAAAGTTGCACTAACAAGGAAAACAAGAGATGAAAATTGGCAAAAATGGAAGCGTGGAATGAGATATTTGAAAATTACCCATAAAAATGGGATGCATTTGTCAGGAAACTATGCCTATATTATACAAAGATGATATTTAATGATTTCTCAAACCATGCAATTAAGTTCCAACAACCTTAAATCCCAGCTTTTCCTTCAAAACTTGTGTTAGGAGAAAATGATCAGAGTGTAGTTTCCTTCCATTCCAGCTAGAGTATGATGCCATGACAGTGCAAACTCCCTGAGAAATACAGTCCAGATAAGGTGCCATATGGATTCTCTCCAACTCATCATACGATGCTATTGTATTCCCCTCATTAATGCCTTTGTCAGTACCCCCATCTCCAACGAAATGCTTGGCACATGCAATGACATTCTTTCTGCCATTCAATAAGTGATACCAATATTAAAAATTTCTTATTGACAAGGAAACATATCAACTGAGAATATAAAAATTGAAGGTAATATAGAACCTAATCTCGAGAAGAAAAGAAAACAATGCATGAGCACAAAAACTAGAATGTAAAAATATTCCAATATGATCAACATCCAAGAAACAGCCGATGTCAAAGTGATGGCCCCGTGCAACAACAATTTGACAGGGACGGAACTAAGATTTCATTACCGAAGGGGTCAAAAGAAAAATAACTTTTTTCACCATATACACAAAATAAACATGTATATATATATGATATATAAATTATATATACATAAAAAAAATTTAAATACCATAGAAGCAATTTCTAATAGGATGAATAAGTTTTTTTTTTATGTAAAATAGAAAGAGAATTTAAGATGGAAGAAGAATGACATATATTTTTTATATTGGGACCATTTTATATATAAAACGATATATATATATATTTAAAGTTCTATAGCAAACAATAATGTTCACAGAAAGAGGGAGGTCATGGCCTTCCATAGTCTTCTCCTAATTCCGCCCCTAAAAATTGTGTATAACTTTCTTGGCAGTGAATGTCAATTACATGCAGAACATTTTTTGTGTGAGAAGCACAACTAGAAAGGTACACAACAAGGACTCCTTTCTACCTTCCAGCTACAAAAGGGTAGCCCTTTGTGTGTCCTTGGGGCAGCTGTCCCTGCAAGCCTGTAACAATAGAAGTCATCTTTCTAACAATCTCAGTATCTTCGCTGTAACTCTCATAACATCTTCCCCATCTGGAATCTCTACATACCTGTCAGAATCCATTCAATTCAAATTAGTTGCACGACAGCTATTGTTCAAGACAAAAGAACTCTTTTAAGAAAGGACAAGAAGCACAAACAAATAAGAAAAAAGATGAAATAATTAGTCACATTAATATAAGAATTAAGCCACTAGATCTTCTTGAGATCAATTTCAGGATTTCCTCACAAACCTGACAATTTAATTAATAAAACCAAACTAAGACACCATTTGGAAATTGGCTATTTTAGTTGACTTTTTAGATTTTTACGAAAAGACGTGCAAAAAATAGAAAGAGTGATACTCATCTTCCCAAACAAGACCTAACGATACATGAGTTCTTTTTTGCTAGTGCACTCTACCAACGACTATATGTTCAATTAAAATCTCATAGTGTCAGTACAAGAGAGAGAAAGAGAGTCACAAAAAAAATCTCACACGAAATTATAAGCCTTCGTTTGGCAATGACTTTTTTAGTTGGCTTTTTTGACTTTTTTAGTCTGGAACTTTTTTGTTCGTTTGGTATTCTTGATTAGCTTTTTTGGCTTTTTAGGCCTCGTTTGGGAACCCTCCCTTTTAGCTAAAAAGTCAAAAAGTTACTAAATTAGCCAAAAAGCCAACAACCCATACCAAAAAGTCAAATATTCTCTTTTCTCTCTACCTTTTGCACATCTTTTCATAAAAATTCAAAAAATTATCCCAAACATACTAGTTATTTTTAGCTCATATTTTAGCCAAATAGCCAAAAAGTTACTAAATTAGCCTGTTCCCAAACGAGGCCTTAGCTTTGGAATTGTGGATTTTTTTTTGTCCTTTTGTGATTTTTCGCTTTTTGTAATTTTTTGACTTTTTTTTTGTCCTTTTGTGATTATTTAGCCCAACTCAAAAACCAAACAACCCCTAAATACATTTTCTGCTGATTTTATTATGTACTTGTTATGAATAAGATTAAATACTTCCAGTGTTAAGAGGCTTGGTTGAGCTCAAAAAAGAATTATAGAAACTCATTGAATCTTATTTATGTTATTCTTATTGGAGAAAAAAAAGTAGTAATATTAAATCAATCATAATATTAACAAAAAAACCTCATGATAAGCAATGACCCTATAGGTTGCCTCCACACAGAGAATTAGTAGCCTAGGCATTTTCCTGATGAACATGGCATTATAGTATGTCATTCATAGTGTTCGTGCAATTTTATTAGTTGGTTACAATTCTAAGGGTTTAGCTAAAGATTAGAACTTTAATGTGTAAAATACATTTAAAGTTGTCCCAAATACAAACATAAAGTGATCAAGACATATCCAAAAACATTAATCACATAAATAGCCCAAGTTATTAAGATCAACAAGGTTACCAAATGCCTATCAGAAAATAAGCAAAGTATTTAATAATTTGATGCGGAAGGTCTGACAACAAATCGAATTGGTTAAATTACACTCACCTCTCTAAAGGTTTGAAAAAAATACAATTAGCCCACCGAATTTAGAATAATTACACTGACCTCTTTTTTAGTAAGGTTAGAGTGATCAAAAATGATGCAGATGATGGGTAGACAATGAGATAAATAATGGCAAATATATATTCTAAGTAGAAAGTAGATGATAACATTATCTTTTCATCCATACGGCTCACATGAAAAGGGACCTGGGTGTTATGTGAATTAAAACTTTGAGGGGGATACAGTATAATTATGTTAAAAGTGTGAGACTAATTGTATTTTCTTCAAATCTAAGGGGGAGGGGCGTGGAATTTACCCAATCTAATTTGATCACTTGAATGCCACTCACAGTAGGAATTATATATGATCCACAACAGAACTATGTGATCTAATAAATTTACAAACTATGAACACTTACAGCCACACAGGGAGCAAAAGTATAATGAGCGCCACTAGCCCTAACTTCAAGAGCCGTTGCAACCCCAATCCTCCGAGTCAATTCCTCATCCCTGTGATATAATACTACTCTCATTCAATTACTACCACTCTAACTCAGCCATTGATTCAACAAATAAGCAGCAACAACAACAACAACAACAAACCTGGTGGCTCCAAGGCCGACGTTGTGAGGAAACACAGTGGCACCATAGACGTTGTTGTTACCATGAATAGCGTCGGTCGCGTAGATCAGTGGAATCCCGAGCCGAGACTCCAGCGCCGCCTTCTGGAATCCGTCGATCATGTCCGCCCAATCCGACGACACTGCTTTTTCGAACGGTCCACCGCCACCAGCACTCAGAATACTCCCTGCAATGTTCAATCGCCGATCAAATCAACAAAATATATATATATATAGAGAGAGAGAGAGAGAGAGATTGTTGTCTATGTATGACCAGAGAGAGAGACCTATGGAAAGGTCTCGAATGGCGGAAGGAGTAGCGACGCCTCGATCGATCTGAGTCATCTGGCCGATCTTCTCTTTCAAGGTCATTCGAGAGAGTAAGTCTTTGATTCTTGACTCGATGGGCTCGTTAGGGTTCTTGTATATGCAATTCATGTCCTCCGCTTTGCTCATCTTTCTTCTACTTCTTCTGCAGTTTGTTCAAGCAAAAATGGAGGAAGGAATGGTTCGATTCCAGTTGTTGATGAAAGAAACGAATACAAACAGACAGACGACTCCGGGTATGACGCAACTACTGTCTTTGATTCGCGGGAGAATCACGAGGGTCTTGGAACGCCCTCCTATCACGTGACAGATGGCATTTATTAAAGGATATGGCTTCTCTCCAATCCGATTGGATCGTACTATTGGGCTAATGGGGATCCATCACGGATCTCGTTTTGATAATCTAAATCATTCAATGTGTAGAACTCGTCGAGTACTATATGCCTGTAAAAAATTACTTTAATCGGATATCGATAGTTATATAATCAAATCAGTTTCGTATTAAAAAAATTAGACGGTGAACAAATTAACGGTTGACAAAAAACTATTTTGATTATATAGCTATCGATATCTGATCAACGTGATGTTTTACAGGCACATAGCACTCGACGAGTTTTACACATTGAACGGTTCATATTATCAAAACGGACCCGTGGTGGGCCTCCATGGGCCCAACAGTACAGTCCAATCCGATCCCAGACTGAACAGAAGTGATATCCTTGATTAAATTGGTGTTTGATTTGGACTTTAAAAATAAAATTTTAAAAAGTAAATTACAAATACACCCTTATTCTAGAAGTTTACTTAAATTACAAATTACCTATTATGGTTCTAGAAATTACAATATGCTTCATAAGATTTTTAATTTCATAACAAATAGATCATTTAATTAATAAATTATCAGGTTAATTAACAATATTTAATAATGTTAAAATTTTATTTCAATTAATAATTTAAATAATTTTATTATTGTATTGGTGAATAGTTAGAAATTTCACTTTTTCAATTAATTCTGTTAAATAAAAAATTCTAACAGGGAGGTATTTGTAATTTTCCAAACCATAGAGGATAATTCGTATTTTAAGCAAATCTCATGGGGTATATTTGTAATTTACCCTAAAAAATTGATGAAATGTGAATAAAAGTATCATTTAACATGAGAGTTGGATTGATTTTTTTTAGCTAAATTAGTCACAAAAATATAAAATAAGTTAAAGAATCAATAAAATAAAATGTCACATTCAAATCATAATCATTTTATTTTTTTCCTCATAAATGTCAAAAAAGTTAAAAAAAACAGCCCAAACGAACTTTTTAGCCATGACTAAAATTGTCAAAAAAAGTCAATTCAACTTTCCAAACAAAACCAAAATATATTTATATTTCACCTAATTTTGCACATCTTTTCTTTTTCTTTTTCAAATTCTTTCACAAATCCCTCAATCAAATACAATATAAAGGTTCATATTGTTTTAGTGATTTTTTTAAAACAAAAAACCACGTAAAAAAATAAAGAAGTGATTAATTTTTTGTAGTATTTAGGTCTCATTCGGCAAGTGGTGATTTTAGCTAAAAAGTCAAAAAGTAGCTAAAAAAAATAAAAAAACTAACAATCTATACCAAAAAGTCATAGATTCCTTTTTATCTCTACTTTTTGCACATCTTTTCGTAAAAAATTAAAAGTCATCCCAAACATACTAGTTTTTTTACATTATATTTTAGCTAAAAAGTCAAAAAAATTACTAAAAAATTTTATTCCCAAACGAGGCCTTATTTAAATTTTAAGCTAAAATTTAATGTTGTCAAACTAACCCTAAGTTATTATCTACTAAAATTTTAAGACAAATGCTAATAAGCGTTCCTTATACATCTATATAACAAATTGGACATTTATCCTACGTAGCACACAAATTAAATGATGAAATAACACTTCTTGGCATACATTTTAAGGGATAAGATCACACTTCTCTTTTATTATTTTTCTGTCTCTCAGGCTTTACTTTTTCATTCAAATTTTAAATATTTCAAAGGTTTGATGCCATTCTCTCTCTAACAGCCATTCTCTTCCCTCTTTCTCCCCCTCTCTCTTAGTCAAACACACTCTTTGGTTCTCTATTTCTTTTCCCACTCTTCCTTTATTGGAGCCCATCCCATACGGGATACCCAATCCCAACCCCAACCCCTTATTCATTCTCGGTTTTGCCCATTGCAACCCCAACTACTCCATTCAATCATTCAAAGTCGAGCGAGTTATCATCGATCAAATAATGGGCTTTGCTAGTCATCTTCAACCAAGTCAACCTATTACAACAAATGAGACTGATTTCAATTTCAGATTTCAGCAGGTCATATTTTCTTCCAGCAAAGCACTCTATTTCTCCCTTCAATTAGATATGAGGGTCAATTATTCCTCTTTTGGACTCAACATATTGTACAAATCTCTTCATCTCTTTATGTTTTCCAGATCACGCTGGAGAACCCACTGCGCTATGGACGCAACGATTTTTGTTAGAATATAATTTATTGAGTTCCATTTAATTGAAATTTTGTGTTTTGGTTATGAGTTGCGGTTCCACATAATGTGTTTGCCCTGTGTGTTTCTAATTTATTTTATATTTTATTTTTTTATCAGCATTGTGTATATATATTGTTTAAGATCTATTGTGAAACTAACTTGTAGTTTGGAATTTTGAAGATTGTTGTAGAGCTATTGATATATCCTTGAGTTTATAATAATTATTTTTTGCAATCATGATGTATTGTTGCTCACTGTCTTGGTTATTGTGTTTTTTGTTGTGAAACTACATCTAATAAAAAGAATGGTTTCTATTGTGATGACCCCGCCACGTATAATATTTTACATTTATTTAATTCTTATTCTAATTTAATTATGGAATTCTCAATAAGATAAAATTGACTAATTGAATTATTTTAATTTCGAGTATCGGACTATATGAGAGTTTAATTAAATATTATTATTAATGAGAATAATAATAATAGTATGTAATAGTAAAATAAATATTAATTTTATGATGATATGTGATAAAGTGGAATTTAGTTTACATTAGAAGTTATTGTGCAAGTATTCTTTTATTCTAATTTGGCATTAGTTTAAAAGTCCAATTAATATATTAATTAGGGCCAAAAAAAATATGATGAAAGGTGTCCTTTTCGTTAGTCACCTAAAGAGAAAGACACTTGTTAAGCCTACTATGTTAATGAGTAAATCCTATTTGTAGATGAGTGAATCATCCAGGATATTAATAAATGAATGTTGAGTCACCATGTCAAGCTCCAGTATATAAGGAGGTGAATCGAAGGCAAGCAAAACAAAAAGGAAATTCACAAGAAAAATGATTAAGAAAAAAGGGCCTCATAAAACCAGCATAAGAAAGGGTAGTAAGGATTAACATTAAGGTGAGTTATATTATATATTGAGTCATCATAATATATTTTACGTATGTTTTGAGTTACCATAAATTATTTTACATAATCTATGTTTTATAAATTCTATTAATATTTTGATTACGTTAATTATTTTCTGAACTCTATTTGCTTAAATTGAAACCCATAGATATGTTTATTTAACTTTTAGAAATTATTTGACAATGATTTTATAAACAATTATTTTTGTAAGTACCACCACGGGAGTCTCATGCCTTGGGAGACTTAAATAACCATTGGTCTCTGTTTGGCCATTTTGTGGTCCTCTATTTGTCATGGATCCATTGACCTCTGTTCTAATTGTCACTCATGTGACCTCTGTTATGTTCTGTTCTGTTCTGTTCTGTTCTATACCGTGGTTATGGTTATTTATTTACTTAATTTTTATATTTCAGTTTCTGCCACGTTGAATAATTTATTTATTCAAATTAGGTTATGTTAACGTTTTAGCTGAAATAATTGTCCATGGTAATTTTTGTACCCCCATGCTCACCGTATAATATTTATCACTCTGCCATGTGCTTATAGCTATTAACCACTTTCAGGTGACGTGTCAAAAGTAGTACATGGGATAGGCACAAGGCACTTTATAATCATAGTACAACTCGGGTATTACAATCGAATAGAAGTTTCAAATGTACACATTTTTGTTATATTTAAACAAAGCTTTGGGTACCTTTTTATTTTACTCCGCTGCACTAATAATTTGTTATGATTTCCGTTATTATCTTATCGTGACGCCGAACCTTCGAGTACCAGGTTTGGGTTGTGACATCTATGCTGATAAAAATATATTTTAAAAAAAAACAAATAAAAGAGGGAAAAAAAGTGTGTGTGTTAGAGAGTGTGTGTGTGTGAGAGAGAGAGAGAGAGAGAGAGAGAGAAAAGAGGCGAAGATTAATTATCATATCAAAACTCAAATAAAAACCCTAGGCTGTGTTTGGTGAAACTCTCAAATCATAATTCCACCCCTCCATTTGCACCATCCGTTTTAATAGAGTTTTAAAAATGTGATTCTACAGCACATTTTAAAACATATTTCCCTTTCATGTTTAGCATATCTCTCTTTCGTTTTCTCCATTCTGAAAAGCAGGAGAGTTTTTGAATTTTGTGTCTACCCTATTATCCTTTTGGTCGTCCGGTCGTTTGACCGGAACAATGTAAAAAATATATATTATTATTATTATTATTATTATTATTTTGCAATTAGAATTTATTTTTTTACACCAAAATGACAAATTATTTTTTTAAATTGAATGTTAAAAATAGTTTGTGTGTGTGTCAATTTTGCGACCACACTGCCAAATAGGTACTCAGCTGGAAAACACCGACAGAATAAATTAAGCCCGAACGATCTGTCACAGAAAGATAAGATTCCGGCGGTGGTTTGTCTACCCGGGGGCACTCTAACGATCGAGTCAGTTATCTCTCAAAGATAACAAAAGTGCTTAACTCACTCTTCAGAATACAAAAATCGTACCTTAGACCCACGAGGGTGCCTCTCTTTTATAGCCAACACTGACCTAATCCCAATAGAAGCCTAGCTTCAATGGACTCTGATTTAATGTTAATCTTGGACTCCCAGTTAGATTGGGATAAACTCTCTAAAAGTTTTATCTTTATCCAAACTGAAGTCCTCTCTCATTCTAGGACTCTTATCCCTTATCTGCTTATCTCGGATTCCAGTATCTTCGCAGATAACCTCGGCCTAGATAACGCCGGCCACGTATTGTCACTTCGGTCTAGATTCAAAACGCCGGCATTCAATACGTATTGTCATTCAAAAATTATGTCCCCACAACTGTCCCCTAAGTTCTATTACCTCGGCATCCTAAGG